TCTATGAAGTTAAAGAACTTACAACATATGTTGAAAGAAAGGATATATACACCAATTAGTGAACAAGTCAGAACAAACTGCTTGACTAAAAACTCCAAATTGTGAATATACCTGTTATACCCGTTGCCGTCGAGTCGATACCTATTCGTAGTGACCCTATAGGACAGAGTAGAACTGCACCGTAAGGTTTCCAAGGAGCGGCTGGGGGATTCAAACTGCCAACTTTTTGGTTAGCAGCCGAGCTCTTAACCACTGTGCCACCAGGGCTCCAATAAGGCGATCTAAAATGCAGCACAAAGCAATGATGCTTAAAAACATCTTGAGGACGACATATAACAAAGCGGGTACAGCTAAATGAACACAAGTCACTGATGACCAACGTGCACTCTCCTTTAGCACCTGATATTGTCTCCTTGTTTTTTACCTACTTGGATACACAGGATCCGCCGTACCACACTCTAAGATTCCTGAAGGCTGGGTCCATGGCTCAGATTATTTTAAATCTCCCCTCAGACCTTGACACAGAACATACTCAATACATGTTTGAGGAGTAAAATAAATGGTCATATTGGTCAACCCTAAATACCTATGTAAATGCCTCATTTGGACTGATAGCCTCTGGTAAGGGTTGACTTCTTCACTGCAGGGGAAAGGCTGCAGTGCAACAGCTGGTGGGGAGCATTGTCCCTCAAGTTGAAAGGGGAAGCTATCCATGCAAAGTGTATATGTGTGTGTATGTTGGGCCTGAAAGGGGGAGAGGATGGTGCCTAAAGGGTCAAAAGGGGGCATATAAGTATAGGCTAAATTATGCTACCATAACAAATGGTCTTAAAATTTTGGAGGCCAACAAGAGAGGCTTATTTCTGCCTACTGTTTGGTCCCTTGCAGGTGAACTGTGGCTGGGCTCAATATCGTCTTCACTCTGGGACCAAGGCAGAAGAGCATCCTTAACTGGAATATACGGGTCTTGTAGCAAACAGAAAAGAGAGATGGCAGAATCAGGCCATGGCTCTTAAAGCTTCTGCTTGGGTAGTATCTTAGTCATATAGCGCTGCTCTAACAGAAATACCACAAGTGGATGGCTTTAACAAAGAGAAGTTTATTCTCTCACAGTCCAGTAGACTACAAGTCCAAATTCAGAGCATCAGCTCCAAGGGAACACTTTCTCTGTTGGCTCTGGAGGAAGGCCTGTGTCATCAATCTTCCTTTGGTCTGGGAGCTTCCCTGTGCAGGAACCTCAGGTCCAAAGGATGTGCTCTGCTCCCGGCACTGCTTTCTTGGTGGTATGAGGTTCCCATGTGTCGCTGCTCGTGTCTCTCTTTCATATCTCAAAAGAGATTGGATTAAGTCACTATCCAATCTTGTAGACCTCCTCAGTATAACTGCCACTAATCCATCTTATTAGATCATAGTAATTGAATTTACAACACATAAGGAAATCACATCAGATTACAAAATGATACACAATTATACAATACTGGGAATCATGACCCAGCCAAGTTGACAGGTATTTTTGGGTGACACAATTCAATCCATGACAGGTGGCATGTGCCATTTTCACTGGCCCATTTCATTTTATTGGCCAAAATAAATTCCATGGTCAAGACAGTTGCCAGCAGGGTGGGAAAAGTATAATCCCTCCCACAGGGATGGAGGGTTGGTTGGTAAGAGGGAGCTGTGAACATTTTGACAATAATAGAATTTATCACAAAGAGAATGGAAATGGCTAGAGGAGTGCTTCCTTCCCTCCAGTAATGATAAAGAAGGCCTCCTGAATGGTCAACAATTTTACTTTAAAACAAAGATGAGAAGGTAAGGTGGCAGAGAAACTAGATTAATGGAAATGGAACAACCAGAATGGAAACAATAAGAATGTTTCCACATTGTGAAGAATGTAACCAATGTCACTGAATAATTTGTGTAGAAAGGGTTGAATGGGAACCTAAACCGCTGTGTAAACTTTCACCAAAAACACAATAAAATATTATTTGAAGGAGAAAAAAAAGCACAACGCCTCCTTTTATAAAAAGCAGCCACTCCATTTCTATGGTACTTATTGCAGTTCTCACAATCTTTTAGATGTCTCATTATACCCACACATGATTCTGGTGAGGACCCAGGCCTTGTCCAGGGCTCCAGCAGAGCCCGAACTAGAACTCTGGTGCTCTCCCACCCACCTCGAGCAAGTCAACCTTCGATGCTTCCATTTCACCTGTAAAATGGACATAATCCTCGACTCTTCCTAAGAAGATGCATTTAGAACATCTGAAACAGTGAGCGCCTACCACATAAAAGCACTCAGTAAATACAAGAGTATGATTATTATTATGACAGTTGTCCCCCAACACATATCTTTCCTAAATTATCTTTAAATTTTTAATTATAATTTGTTAAAACTCCTTAAATGGAGAAAATGCATTTAATGACCTTTATTCCACTATTCAAAACCATGAGCTATTCTCCTCTATTCTAATAGTTTTCTCCTATACACACACACACACACACACACACACACATATACATACACACAAACACATCTACATTGTCTCCTCTGACCTCTATTACTTGTTCACTCCCTAAGGGGTCAGTTTCTTAACTTCTCAAGAAGTTTAAAAAGGGCTCATTCTATTACATGTCGGTCACCGTGAGTTGGCGCCAACTCCACAACAACAACAACAACATCCTTGCCTGAGCATTAAATCAGAATGTTTCATCTGTGAGGAAATTCCTCTGTTAATTATTACTTTCATGTTTGCTTTTCAAAGTTACCAAAGACACCTTTACTCAATTTGATTAAGACACGTGTCAACATTCTTAATCCAGATGCAAGTCTCTCAAATTTCTAACCGTAAACTTCCTCTTGAAATGGAAAATAATTACTTTTGAAATAATCCAAGTCCGTCCCTGACTCAGTGGGAATTACAAATACCTTTTGTTTTCAGAGGAAATAAAGGAAATAAATGTTTTAAAATTATGTAAGTCTGATTCAGCTACCAGGGAATTAACACAAAACGAATGTTTTGAAATATCCAAAGCACTTTTTAAGGTTCAATAAAGAATGTGTTTTGAGAACTAGGTGGGTGAGACTTTAAAATAAAAACAACCACCACGATCTCAGTTGTTACTTAGCAATTTCAGGCTTCAACTGTTCCCTTCTAAAGGGCAAGTTAGAAAACTGAAGAAATGGCTTCTAGAAGAAACACTGAGGCATCTATCTGGTCCAGTTTCCTTTCTTTCCTCCATTTTCCTCTCTAAGATTTTAATCAAGCCAGTCTGAACTTTAAACTGCCGAGGTCTTGTTGTTGTTTTAACCTCTCTGGAAGCAACTCACTTTTCATTAAACTTCATTGTTGAATCAAAAGCAAAGCGACAGGCAGAGCTTAGCTGGGAGGAATCCTGGCTGTTTGTCCTCGCAGTGGCACTACCTGAAGGAAGTCAGAATCGAGAGAGTCCAGGAAGGGAGAAAAGTAAGTCCAAAAGGGAACCAACAGTCTGACCTATCTCCAAGTACATCACTCAACGGGTAGGGTAGGCAAGGTGTGCTGAGACAACAACTTCAACTCCAGTCACGCTCCTAATCCAATCGGTTTAAATTCTAAATTGGTCTCAGTACTTATCCTCAATTTCAGAAGTTATATAAGTGTGAAAACTTGGGTGACCAAGCACTGATTCAAAACCAAGCCGTACTTTTATCAATCAATCTAAACTCTTACCCCCAGGGCTGTGACGGATAATTAAAGAATTGTGGCTTAGAACTGTCTGCGCAACAGGAAACCTACAGTCAGTGGTGTGCTGGAGCTGCTTCACACAGGCTCACTAGAGCCAATTGTTAAATTCTCAGGATTTTTGCAAGCCAGATGTTAAGCAAAGCCATGATTAAAAATAAAATTAAACTTTAAATTATATTAAAAACAAAGGTAATAATAGTCAAACCTCATCACGTCCTAAATGTTTTACTATTACCTACGCACTTGATATTATCTACAATTATCGTACCTGTATGGTAGGAAATGATACACCTTTTCCAAACTCTGCATTTGGTGACATTTCGTGGGTAGCTTGAAATCGGCCATGGAAGTCCACAAACACTGCAAACCCTCCTCCCTGCGGGTCCAACTTGTTAACATTCACCTGCACATCACTACCTACAATGTTAACTCACCACTGCTTGACAGCAGCTAAGGAGTTCAAGACTGCCAATCTTTTGAGTCAAAATAAAGGCCTATAAATTGTAAGTCATAACCCAAATATAGGAAAGTAATGACATTTATTGTGCCCCTATTATATACCAGTCATAGCGCTAACTGCTATCCACACAGTGTTTCATTTCCGGAGAGATACATCATCTCCAATACACACATGAGTCAACTGAGGTTTTGAGAGCGTGAGTTAATACTAAAAAGCACAAGAACAAGAGTCAGGCCTAGAACTCTCTGACTCAAAAATGTGCTATCTTTCCGCTAAGCTAGCCCCGGTACTATTATCACTACCATAATGAAACCCAAATCGACCACAAGTAACTGTCAGATAATCAGCAAACATTAAGGTCCTCTAATGTGTAGAAAATGACATATACATAGCAGGATAAGGAGAAAAGCATAGACCAAGAGTTCAATTTTATTCATATTCACTCAGTTTGTTCACACTCATCTCCAATATACCCACAAAAGGTACTTAAGTGAGAAATGGGTTCAAGGAACCATGAGGACCAAGAATTTCTGCACTTGAGCAAGTCCCTTTCAATCAAAAAATTAAAAGCTGACCTTGTGTAGGGATACTCTTTTAATTCTTTAAATATTTCTGCTCTCTCCACCAAATGGATGCACTGTACCTAAAATGAATACATCTTACCAAGAAAAAAAAATGTAAAAACAAAATTTCTCAAATGTTAGCACCAATTTTCTGAAGTGTGTGGGTATTTATTTTTTATTTTCTCTTTTAGACTTTTAAGTTATTTGATTGTCCTTTTACCGTGGTTGCTCAAAGAAAAAATTACTTACTGATTACTTTAGAAAATTCTGGTCATCTTGGCTTCCTATAAGCTACCAGCTTCTCCCACTGTTCCAGTACATTTTTCATCACCTGTCACAATTAGAAAAAATACTATTAGTTATATATTTAATAAAGGCCATTTCTTGGTTTCCAATGTGTTAAGTCTTTTCTTCTCTTTACATCACAAAGCACAGAGAAAAATATAGCTATCTCTTCCTTTTTCTCTAAAAACAAAAAAGAAGACAATAATAACATAAGATCATCCCAAGAGAAAACAAATTTAAAAACACAGTGTATTTACTGTTGAGGGTTGGGGTCGAGAACCCTTAAAATACTCTCCCTTGGGTTTTCAGGAGGACATTTTTAGTCTAACTCCTAGGAAGGAGAGTACTAAGTAACCCATTTTCTCTCTCTTTACTTTTTCCCAAAAGTAAGTGACTATTTGCTTTGATAGGATTGGAGAAAGCACTGGCTTAGCGCTTAGCCACTGCACTGATCTAGGCAATAAGGACCTCCCTCCAGCTTCCTCCAACACCTGGAACCAGCTAATTTCCACTCAGAAAGCAGGACAGTGGCTGCCTACCCCTGGGAGAGCCAGCTTTCTCTGTTCCAGCTTCTCTCCAGGTGTTACTGGATGACTAAGTCAGATTTGCTAGAGTTGAATCCATGTTTCAGTTTCAGAAAAGGAGGTAAGTGACCCTTCTGGGTTTTCCAACCCTGCTTTATCAGTAATTAAGCTATCATCTATTTGATTCCCACTGAACCCTCGCTCTACATTTCTCAAATTGTTTAAAACTTATAGGATAGAAAAGATCGTCAACATCTACCAAAGGACACCACACAAATAAAACCTTGGTTCAAAATCCTATCACTTACTAGCCATGTGACCTTGGGAAAAATCCATCTGTCTTTTCCCAGCCTCAATTTCATTTCTAAAAGAGGATCAACTTAACCTCTGCTACAAAGTATGGTTCTGAGTACTAAAATAAGACGAAAGATATAATCTGCCAAAGTATAGCATGCTTTGATACAACAAGGGTTGTCTTAGCCATCTAGTGCTGCTATAACAGAAATACCACAAGTGGACGGCTTTAAAAAAAAAAGAAAGTATTCATCTGTCAACATTATCTCTCATTAGAAAATACTTTCCCAAGTATAATTTTTTATTTATTATTAAACATTCTATTAAATATTGATGATTTTTTACAATACTCATCAAAAAAATATAGACCTAAACAAAACCAAGACCTAGAATTCTGTCCTATTAATGCTCAGTTATCTTCACAATAACACGTTCTCCCTTTAGATGCAAGTAGAGCTCATTCCAAGAAAATACATTCTGAAATGAGCTGTCAGCTTCATTCTGTTGAGTCATGCAGGATCCTCTTGAGGCACTTAAACGAAAACAATTAGTGTGCTTACTACTGCAATTATGGCAGACAGTCTATTAAATTCGAGGTTACAATTGAAATCATGTTGGGTTAGTCGATTAAATTCATCGACTATTTCCCTATGTGAACACTTTGGAGAAAGAGGTTCAAATCATACTTCTGACAATATAAAACTTTTCTAAGTTGATCTGAATGGCGTAATAAACAAATTTAAAAATGCTCATCTTAGTTGATAGCCTTTACTAACATGTGCAAACAGAAAGCTCTAGCTATGCATTTGTTAGCATTCTTCATGTCAGTACTAAGTTTCTTTTTCTGATGATAAGTTTTTTGAAAGGAGGGAATGCATCATTTCCATTGGTGCTAATTCTTCTGGTGCTCAGTGCAATGCCATGCACTCACTGGGCAACTGTCAAAGATACAGACCCATGGAAGCAGCAGTCAAGAAATTAAATGATGCATTGCACTGGGCAAATCTGCTGCAAAAGACCTCTTAGAACGTGTTAAAAAGCAAAGATGTCACGTTAAGGCCTAAGGTGTCATGATATTTTCAACAGCCTCATATGCATGTGAAAGCTGGACAATGAATAAGGAAGATCAATAAAGAATTGATGCCTTTGAATTATGGTGTTGGTGGAGAATACTGAATATACCACAGACTTCCAGAAGAACGAACAAATCAGTCTTGGAAAAAGTACAATCAGAATGCTCCTTGGAAGCAAGGATGGCGAGACTTCGTCTCACATACTTTGGACATGTTATCAGGAGGGACCAGTCTCTGGAGAAGGACATCATGCTTGGTAAATCTGTCTCATTACAGTCGTTACCCCTGAGTTTTGAACAAAAACCACTTCATTTGCTATAATGAAAAATATTTTAACAGGTTCAAAGAATCCAATTCATTCCCAAAGATGGTAATTTGTCACCGCCATGGTTATTCAAAGAATTACAAGTGACTTCAACAATAGGCTTTAAATGAACTACCCATTTTTCAGACGACATGGTGCTAAGCACTGGAGGTGGGTGAGGATTATAAATTGATTGGGATGAAGTTGATTTAAAAGAGTGCAGAGCAATGGCAGCATCACCAGAATAGGCACAATTAACTTAGCTGATACACTTGGACAGAACAATCTGGATGTATAAGTTCTAGCTGTGATTGTTAAAAGCCCAGGACTTCCTAATCACACTTCATATATATTGTTAAGATTCCACAATAGTCAAGCAAAAACCTGGCTAAAAAGAACACACTCTTTTGTATGCACTTTCTACCCTCCAGGGAGAGGCCAAGGCTGCTAGCCCAAGGTGGAGGGAGACTGGCAGGCATCAAAACCAAGAGCATTCAACAGCTAAGGTGCTAGAGGATGGCATTCACACAAAGGTTGCAGAAGTGGATAAAACTCTTGCAACCAGAAGACATGAGAGTTTTGGATTCTTAGCCTCTTTTCTGTCAAGGAATTGGTTCACTAACAGGGGTTGGGGCCTCCTCATGGGAGACAGTGTTCTGTGGTCAGTAAGACCACAAAAACTGAAAAGGCCTCACTTAGGTTATTTATATAAGCCACACTATGACCTAGAAACACCTCCTTAGAGAATGTGTCACACACTTAAAATGCCAGCCATCAAGGGAGGGCTCCTGAGGGCCTAAGAGTTGCTTACTAAGTCACAGGGTTTCTTGCTACCTTTTCACTACACTTCTATAGCAGAAAAGAGGAGGAAAAGCCACTCCAGGTTGTTGAATTTTCTACAGGTCAGAAGAAAAACAGCCAGAAGGTATGACAGACATGCTTCTAGTCAAGTAGGAGACTTGACAGAGAGGAGGGTAAAGATAAAGAGAAGCCATATTCCTGGCTAGCCATCAGGTGTGGCAGACTCCAAATTGTGCCCCCCCTTAACCTCCACCTCTTATTATCCATACCTTGTGTAATCCCCTCCCTTTGAGTGTGGGCAAGACCTGTGATTTGCTTCTAACCAACAGAATACAACAAAGATGACAGGATGTATGTGATCACATTATATAAGATTGTAATGTCTGTGTACTATAAGATTCTCTCTTACTATATTTGAAGAAGCAAGTTATCAAGTTGTGAACTATCTACATAGAAGGCCATGTGAGGGTGGTCTCGGCTAACAGCAAGAAACTGAGGCTTCCATTTGACAGCCTGCAAGAAACCAAATTGTTGAAGCAACCACAAGAGATTGGAAGCAAATCCTTTCCCAGTTGAAACTCGGATAAGTCAGCAGCCCCAGGTGACACCATGATTGAAGCCTTGCAAAGTGTGCAGCTAAATCATGCCCAGACTCCTAACCCACAGAAACTTTGAGATAATCTATGTGTATTAAGTTTGAGGTAATATTGTTATGTAGCTACAGATAACTAATACAGATGGGAAGTGAGGTATGCATCCCCGATGTTACTCCCTGTCCTTCTGAGAGAGGAGGGGGGAGGAAGTACAAGGCTCACGAGCCAGGGCCTGGGAGAGTAATCCTGCCTTTATATACATATCCACGCTTTTATTCAACTATCTTTGATGAGACCCTTGCTTCCCTCCCCTACTGTTGTTGTTGCTGTTAGGTACCATCGAGTCAGTTTCGACTCATAGCAAAAGAATGAATCACTGCCCGGTCCTGCGCCATCCTCATAATCATTGTTATGTTCGAGCCCATTGCTGCAGCCACTCGTTGAGGGTCTTCCTCTTTCTCGCTGACCCTCTACTTTACCAAGCATGATGTCTTTCTCCAGGGACTGAACCCTCCTGACAACATGTCCAAAGTACATGAGACACAGTCTCGCCATCCTCGCTTCTAAGGAGCATTCTGGCTATACTTCTTCCAAGACAGACTTGTTCCTTCTTCTGGCAGTCCATGATATATTCAAATATTAGTTTCAGAGTCTATTCTGACAACCATTTTGGTCTTTTCTTTCTTTCCTGCCCTTTTAATGAGCTCTTGCTTTCTTCATGTATGATGTCCTTGATGTCATCCCACAACTCATCTGGTCTTCAGTCATTAGAGTTCAATGCATCAAATCTATTGTTTAGATGGTCTCTAAATTCAGGTGAGACAGGTTGTATTTTGGCTCTCACAGACTTGCTCTAACTCAGCTTCAACTTGAACTTGCATATGAGCAATTGATGGTCTGTTCCGAAGTCGGCCCCTGGCCTTGTTCTGACTGATGATACTGAGCTTCTCTATCGTCACTTTCCACAGAGGTAGTCAATTTGATTTCTGTGTATTCCATCTGGCAAGGTCCACATGTATAGCTGCCACTTATGTTGTTGAAAAAAGGTATTTGGAATGAAGAAGTTGTTGGTCTTGCAAAATTCTGTCATGCGATCTCCACTGTCGTTTCTATCACCAAGGACATATTTTCCAATTACTGATTCTTCTTTTTTGTTTCCAACCTTCTCATTCCAATCACCAGTAACTATCAATGCATCTTGATTGCACTGATGAACTTCAGACTGCAGAAGCTGGTAAAAATCTTCAATTTCTTCATCTTTAGCATTAGTAGTTGATGCATAAATTTGAATAATAGTCGTGTTAACTGTCTTCCTTGTGGGGGTATGGGTATTATCCTATCACTGACACTGCTGTACTTCAGGATAAATCTTGAAATGTCCTTTCTGATGATGAATGCAATGCCAGTCCTCTTCAATTTGTCATTCCCAGCTTAGTAGACAATATGATTGTCTGTTT